TTTTTTTTTTTTTTTTTTTTTTTTTTTTTTTTTTTTTTTTTTTTTTGGTACCGGTGATCGAACTCTGGTCTTTCTGCTTGCAAGGCAGGCAGCAAAGCCACTGAGCTAAACCCCCGGCCTTCAAATAGCTTTTAATATGGGACGTATGTCAGAATTTTCTGGAGCACTTGTTAAACATTTAGGTCTCAGACTCAATTTCACACTGAATTAGTGAATCTGGAGTGAGGCCTGGAAATCTATTTTTTAGCAAGTGGTCCAGGTAATATCGAACTAGTTAGTATTTGGACTATTTTTTACATGGCACAAGACACCTTCTGATAGACCCCAGCAAGGTATTCATGAAAAAACTTTTGTATCTTATATCTGTTTATATGGTTTGTTTTGTATGACAAAATGCCACAATAAAGACGGGCTACTTCTTATAACTGCTTTTCAAGGATTATTTTCACAATAAGGCTATTTTTTACAAATAGAGTAGACATATAAACAGCCTTGGTTTGCCTTGACACAAATTTTATCACTGATTTGATCTCAGCTGTCAATATTTGGATACAGGTTTGTTCTTGAGTGTCAAACTTTTAGTCAGAGTTACCTGGCATGGAACATGGAAATCAAGGAGATATGTACCAGCAGATACACAGTCCCTGCCCAGGTCCTCACTCCACTTCTTAAATTACACCACAAGACTCTAGTGTAATGAATCTTGTGATGCTCAGTCCTCCACCATGACCTGGTATTGTCTGGGAAACCTGTTTGGCTTTTTGTGTCCATATAAGCCTAGAGCACACCCAGTTGATTATAGGTAAACATGGCTGGCCTTTTTCATTTTTTAGCAAGTATGCTTGGATCAATCAGTAGACTCTAAAGGACACTACATGTTTTATGAAGGATATAAACAAGTATTGGCAAAAACACAAGCAGCTGATCCAGATGAGCTTCTTCATTTGCTGAAGCTCAAGGCAAGTGATATAAGGACAGCAAAGTGCAGGGTGCTATGAGTCTTTTAGAATTATTGGCAATTTGACATTTGAAAGGAAACAAATATTCTAAATAGAATCTATCATTGTGCCTTTGTTATAGTGACAGACCTAATAAAATCTCCAATATAAAGGTGTTTAAATACAGTGTGCCATTTTTAAAAATCTATCTAGGTTTTACAAACCTGTAAACCTAAAAAAGAATGGGAGAATTTTTTGCCTTAAGCACAATGCCATTTTTATGCCTGTTGGTCATACTTTGCTTTGTATTTTCAGGTATTTCCAACTCTTGATCATAAGCCAGTGACAGTTGACCTGACTATTGATTCTGAGAAGAGATTAAAGATTTTCTTTAGCTCAGAAAATGGATATCACATCATCGATGCAGAATCTGAAGTTGTGTCTGATGTGATCCTACCACGTAATGTAAGTTTTTTTTGTTTTGTTTTTTGTTTTGTTTTTTTGTTTTGTTTTTTTCGTAACCTAAATTAATACTTTCAAATCCCTAGAAATTATTGTACACCAGCATTACAACTTTCCAAATATCAAAATTCTGAAAGGTTTAAAAATATAAATAATAACACTTATACTGGAATGGGGAAGTAAAAGGTAGTTATAGAGTACCAAAAAATGATCACACATAAACAAATATCACTGATGGTTTCTTACTCCACTTCAGACATTTTGCCTTTCTGACACACAGTTTATTGTTGTTGTTGTTGTTGTTTCCTTTGTGTATTTGTTCATTCCTAATGAATAAAGTTTAGATTTAAATTTTGGATTTCCACTGAAGAAGACTAACAGTCTTGGGCCCTAATTACTATCTGGCCATTTTCAACTGGAAATGATTCACACCTGGCTCCTTTTAGATTAGAGACAGATTCTACAGTCTCTAGCCATCCATTTTGCACAATGAGAATAATTAGCCCTTGGAGGCATTTCAAGTGATAGCTTTTGCCTGAGTCTTTTTGTACTCCAAAATACCTTAACAGGTTCTTTAAAAATGCAAAACAGTTTCAATTGTTGCCTAAAATTTTGGATCAAATGATTGAACATTTTGATAACAAATGCACATCTATTCCCTCTTAAATAACTATAAAATAGTGAAAATATGACACAATATCTGAAATCTGGATATCTGTAAAAATATTATACCTATCATCTTTATACAGAACTTGACCATAACATAATACTCTAGACACATCGAAATATTTTTGTTTCTCAATATTTCTCATATTCTGCGTCTCATATTTTCTGTTGATGATCAGTCTTGTACTATTGAAGATTGTATTTAAAAAATGCCTGAACTATTGTGTTTCACTTTTTTTGATTCCTAGTTTGTAAACAATTAAAATTTTAGCACATTACCATTGTGTAAAAATTGGTGGAGAAAACTGCTAAATATTCTTAAGTCACTGGAATCATGTGACATTTTGAACAACATTCAAAATTACACCAGATATCTCTAATTAATTGCGAATAGCATCAGTTAAAACATTAGTGAAAACATTTTTTCAAGTGTCTTGGTTACATTAACAATCATTAGTTGATCACCTAGTGATTGCCTATGCTTATACAGAACCTACCCTGTTTGTAATGTAGAAAATACTGAAGCAATTCCATCAATGAGGTCAGATACAAGGTTAGGATAGTTTTACTCTAAATATTTTATTTTATTTAGTTGTCTTCCATAGTTTTCTGTATCTTTTATTTATGTTGTGTCAGATAGCTTTTATTTAGAAACTAGTGCAATATTGAACATTTCATCATTGGTCCAGATTTATACTTATTTGAAAAATCACTGAAGAAATTTGAACCCAGTGTTCCACATAACCAATACACACAAGAAAACATGTTTCCTATTTAAGTAATCCATTAATTATTGGGAAAGCTAGAACAAGAGAAAATGAGCTTTTAAAAATCTCTTTCTGACCTAATTAGGATACCTTAGGTGTATTCAAAATTATATTTAGCTAAATACCCTAGAGTCTTGATCCATTAAAAGGGAAAGGACTCTAATATAAGAGAGAGGAAGGTGTTTTCTAAAATGGAATGTACTGAAAATAATATTTTTCCAAATGTGCTGAATTACAAGTCTGTAATGCTACAAGAAGCCATGTGTGCCGGTCTCTGATTGCTACAGGAATCATCTGAGAAGAAGTGAATTAAATCAGAGGCTGTCTGGATTATCAGCAGTCCAGTTTTATTATAATCAGATTTTGTTGAGACAAGCTTCTTTCTTGCATTTCTTTTATTTTCTTCCTTAACCTCTTTTCTGATTCAACTGCTCATGCAAGTGCCCAGAGAACACATTAAAATTGCTTTTCGCCTCTGGATCCCCATTTTAGTTTTAAGGATTGTTGTTGCTGAAACATGGACTCAAACTGTTGGCCTGAGTGTGCTGGGTCTGGCAAGTATAGTTTCTGAACATTTATTTTTTCTGTAACTTGCTAATTTGAAAGAAACAATAGAGGAATGTAATTGTTTATTTCTCAGGGAAACTGTCAATGTGACAATATCAGCTTAAGCAAATTTTGTCACATTATTTTATGCATCATGAAATTTAGAAATATTCCTGAATGTGTGTATTGAATATATTTTAATAATATAAAATTTAGATATAAAATTATACACTTTTGCAACAGGGGGGCTTATATTTCAAGCTGTGAAAAATATTGTAAACTCATGCCTTGTAAGCATTTTAAGCTCAAACTATTTTGATGTTGATTTTCTAATTTGTATTGTAATTAATTTGCTAATAACAAAAGTTGATAAATTTATTTGGTTCACATATTTATTACTAAAATATTCATTAATTGTAAAAATGTATTTTAAAGCCAAGTCTATAACATTGTGGAGGTTCAAGAAATCTCTCTATATTGGAAATATATTTTTATGTTTTCAAACAAGTCTTTCTCCTAAATATAAAGGCAAATCTTAAACAGTCATGACTACATTTCATAAGGTAAGCAGCTTTTTCCAAGTGGTGAGTAACATGTTGTTCAATTTGGAAATAGAACTTACCTTACTCCCTGCACTTTGAACCCCTTGGCTCTTTATCCTTAGGAAAGCTGCTTCAATTAAAATAGTAGTGATAAGAAATGTTGAACATATAAATCTCTATGAAACATAATTCCAGCCCCTTGAAATCATTGTACCATAGAATATCATCATTTTACCTGATGGCTTGGGAATTGGCATGATGCTCACCTTCAACGCTGAAGCTCTCTCTGTGGAAGCAAATGAACAACTTTTCAAGAAAATCCTTGAAGTGTGGAAAGACATACCATCTTCTGTAGGTATGTATAAAACGTATCCCTCTTTGAGATAAACCCAGAGAAACTATTCAAGGAAAAATGTATCCTGAGTAAAAGTTTCCTGAAAGGTTACTTTTTGTGAAAGAACAGAGGGTTATTTGGAGTCTTGCACACCTTTTCCCTTAGTAAGGTGAAACAAGTGTTTCTCATATACTTAGCAAATCATGTAATTACTAGAGATCAATTTTAGTTCTCTTAGTTGTTCATTTAAAATAATTATGCAATTAAAAGAGGAACTAATTCCTTCCCACAATAATCTATAATTTTACTTCAAATCTCTTTCCTTGTAGACTTTCCACAGATGTTGAAAACACTTTTTTCCACGGCATTAATTTTGGAGGATTTACCTCCATTTAGGAGATTCTCGGTCATGAAAGAATAGCAGGAATATTCTATTTCATACAATTAGTAAAGTTCTGTTTAGTGACTAATATTCCTGTGACTTATCAAATAATTTTGAAAAACAATAGCTATGACTGGAATGCATATAAGACACCAATCAGATGGCCACATAAAGGAAACTGTCTTTTGGGGCTGGGGATTTAGCTGGGAACACCTGCCTTGCAAATGCAAGGTCCTGAGTTTGATCCCTGATACCACAAAAAGATAGAAAAATGAAAAGAAAAGTGTCTTTTTATCTTCCAAACAGGACATGTTTTCCTAACCGATGTTGGACTTCTGATCTGAGAAATGCATTGGGATGCTTGTGTATGTTTTTGGCTGTTGGTGACTATATGGTTAATTCCAGAAAGGGACTAGAATGCATAGAAAAAGTAAAAATTTGGAGGTGAAATTATTATGATGGAAAATAAGTATTCTTAAAGAAAAGTTTGAAGGAGAAAGACAGGTGTGTGTGTGTGTGTGTGTATGTGTGTGTGTGTTTGTGTGTGTGTGTGTGTGTGAGAGAGAGAGAGAGAGAGAGAGAGAGAGAGAGAGAGAGAGGGGTGGGGGGAGAGATTGATATTGTTTGTCAAGACAGAATCCAGCAGTGTCAGAGATTTCTGTAAAGTAGGTAAAAGAGATCCTTATTTTGATGGACATTTTTTCTATGGGATGATGGCACTTTTTGTTGTGTCTGCAGAATATTCTTTTTTTTTGCATATGTAGTCAGTGGTAAGGATTGTCCTGAAAACCTGCTCCAATTTCTTCAAGCAGGCAAACATTCATAGAGGGTTTTAAACTATTTTAAGTGAGAGAAGATAAATGCTTACAGCCTAATTGATACATCTGAGGTGACAGAAGTAAAAGTATTCAATCATGTAATAACCTTTACAGTAGTAATTTTGTGATTAATATGTTAACACACATAGGAATAAGGCAATTTGATTCAAATGGGAAAGCGAAGATACCCCTATGTTAATGCCACTAGATAATCAGAGGTGTCAAAATAATCTGGAAAAAGTTATCTTGTCCAATTCTTGTCTTTAGACAGGATAATTTAACTAGAGAAAGAAAGCTATTTCATTCTGCTAGAATTTGAAAAATATTTATACATAAAATAAATTATAGCCCTTATAGGTGCATGGTATTTTTAGTTTTAACTATTAAGGATATACATTAGAGAATTGATATTAAAGAAATTACTGTTTTTCTGTCTAAAAAACAACTCTTTTGTTATTTAAAACTGACTCCAATCCAGATTTTCCTAATATAAAATTTACATTTCCTTGAATAATGACTAATATTTTTGATAGCAAAATAATTGCTCAGCATTTCCAAACAAATATAAAGAGGCTTAACAATTACTGACAGTTTTACTAAGTATTCTCACTTCCAAATCACTGAGTGAAACCCATTTCAGAATGCATGCTAGCTCAGTAGATTAGTTAAGTGGAAAACTCGTATGTTGCAAGAGTAAGGTAGAAATCTCGTGGACTGGGGATTTAGCTCAGTGGTGCCACTGCCTCCCTCGCAAACACAAGGTCCTGAGTTCAATCCCCAGTGTGTGTGTGTGTGTGTGTGTGTGTGTGTGTGTGTGTGTGTGTGTATGTATATATAGTGATATCTTGTGATGTCATGCCATGTGAACTATGTTCTTGCATTTAGCAAGTAACCGTTGCATTAAATTTAGAAAATTTTGTCATTTGGTTGTTACTTTTTAGTGAAGTAATCACATGAGCAAAAAAAAAAAAAAAATTAAACCCATATAGATTAAATGCTCTACTTATTTCAGTCGCTCAATCCACCAATTCTCCTTATTTCCACTATAATCTGGGATGGTGTTAATTCTATTCTAAAATCAAATGTAAAGTTCTTCTAGGACAGTCATTTTCTGAGTCAAAATGTGTTTGTAATTTAATTATAATTTTGTCAATTTCAAAAACATAAGTAATTTTTATTGTAATAATCAGAAGCAGAAGATAAATTCTTGGTAATTTTATTTGAGAGATCTAATACTCACATTACTGCTTTGAAAGGCACTTTTGTAAAGATTTAAGAGTTTCTTAATGACTCTTATGTACATATAATACATATAATGGCCAAGTAAATTTTGATTTAAATAAGGTCATCACAGAACCTTTAAGAAAGACAAGGAAAAGTTTTTTAAAAGATGTATACTGTAATTATATCAATGTATAGTTTATTCTCTTCAAAATAGAAAATAGAGGATTACATTTATTAATGGACTCTGATTTTAATCATGCTAACATGGATATGAAACTGCTTTATTTTGTTGTTTTCAAGACTATTTTAGCTTGAGTTAACAATTTTATGATTTCATTTATTGGTGGAAATTTTATTTCCCATAAGATACATAAAGAATGGCAATTTAAAAGTTAAACATTTAATGGTAAGATGCTTCCTGTACCAGAAAATGCTGTATAACACCAGTTGAGTTCATGGTTATCTACATAATTAGGTTTTTCCTGCTTCAAAGAAATTTTTGCCACAATCTCTATTGTCACAAAGTATACCAAGACTTAAAAAGTTAAAATCTTAATGAATTTTTCCTGAGAGGGGAAAAAGGCTTAAGAGCATCAAATTAGCCTTAGTTCTACTTATAAAGTGGTAATTTATTCAATTACATTAATGTTCTAAAGTCATTGTTTGAACAAGTTATTCAAAAGTCAGGTTTCCCATATATAATTGTTGGTTAGAACATCACTCCTAAGAAGCAGAGTGACCAAATGACTGGCTATAGAATTAGCGGGAAAATATGGGTTCACTTGAATTGCAATGAGTTTCTTTATAATCAAACATCGATTCTCGTTGAAATTTTCAATCACTGCTGGGAAATACGTATTGTTCTAACATTTTTCATTGGTATTTTAGCTTTTGAATGTACACAACGGACCACAGGATGGGACCAAAAGGCCATTGAAGTGCGCTCTTTGCAATCAAAGGTTCTGGAAAGTGAGCTGAAGGCCAGGTCAATCAAGAAGCTGAGATTTCTGTGTACCCGAGGTGACAAGGTACAATATACACCTTTCAGATAGAGCAAAAATAAAGCAGCAATTGAAATTAGCTAAATAAATATATACCATTTTGTTTCTGGCCATAAATATACTTGTGTTGTGTTTTTCAAATTAGCATGCCATTGGCAAAAAACAATATTCCATTGTGCAATAAAAATATTGACTTGTTAAATGATGAAATTTCCTTTCAAAACAGCCTCATTTTCAAGTGTAAAAAATTGCAGTTATGTCTTAAAATTTAGCCATTATTTCTTCAATATAAAGTCCTTTTTTATATTCATATAAAGTATTTTTAAACAAAAAATACTTGAGCAAATCTGTTGTAAAACATATCTTTTTATTAATTAAGGTATTAATTGGACATATCAATGAGATTCAGCGTGTTATACTTGTACACACACACAGTGTACTTTGATTGGGGCCAACCTCCATTTATCTACCACTCCTACATCCTTCTCAACCTCTACTAAACATTATTCTACATTCAGGTTAATGGTGTTACTTTCCATGTATGAAAGAGAACATGAAGGCTTGCCTTTCTGAGTCTGGTTTACTCTCTCTCTCTCTCTCTCTCTCTCTCTCTCTCTCTCTCTCTCTCTCTCTCTGTACTGGGGATCCAACTTGGGACCGTGTGGCTTGCAAGGCAGGCGGATGCACCCATGAGCTAAATCCCCTAGCCCTAGTTTATTTTTTAATGTCATGTTTTTTGTTTTCATCTATTTGACTGCAAATGACAGGATTTCTTTCTTCTTTATGGTTGAATAATTTTTCATTGTCCATATGCTGATTCTAAAGCTATGGTCAGTAGTGCAACAATGACACAGGCATGGTGGTATCTCTTTGATATGCTGATTTATTTATTTATTTATTTATTCATTCATTCATTCATTCATTTATTTATTGAGGATATACACCCAGAGTTGGGATAGCTGGATTTTATCAAAAATATATTTTTAGTTTTCTGAGAAATATCTGTACTGTTCTCCATAATGATTCTATAATATACAAGTGCATGAACAGTGTATGGGATTTCCTTTTTCCCACTTTCTCATCAGCATTTATTGTTTTGATTTTTTTGTGGATTTTTTTCCAACCTGTCTCATAACTCTCAACACAACCAAATATAAAAGAAGGAAATGGTACTTATGTTTGCTAAAAACCTAATTCATGAGTTAGGCTTTATGCAGGTACTTTAAAAGCTATATCAATTTTCCTTCAGTGGGGATTATGATGTCTACTTTGCAGAAAAGATAAAGAAAAATGAGATTTGGCAGTTATTTGTGTAATTTAATAAATTTCAACAACTACTTCATATAACTAGATGGGACAATTCATTCTATAAAACCAGGAATACTCCTACTTATCATGAGAAATAACGGTTGAAGAAATAATCCTAATAAGAATAAGGACCATTTTTATTTAGAAAAGACTGCAGCCAGTAGTCTATTGGATGCCTATAATCCCAGCACTTGAGGGGCTGAGGCAGGATTGTCACGAGTTTGAGGCCAGCCTGGGCTACACATTGAGTTCAAGGCCAGCTTTAAAGTTAATTTTAGCATAGCCAAGTTAAAGTACTCCAAAGAAAGGAAAGATCCAAATTTGCAAAGAATAGAGATAGAATGACAAGAACTAGTATTTGAGGTCAGATAGACTTAAGACACAGCTCTGGCTCCCATGTCACTAGGTATGAAAATCTGAGAAGTTTGGTCTTCCTGGTCCTTAGTTTTTCATCTCAAAAATAAAAATATTAATAACTACTATGGGAATAAGTGTGAAAGTTTATATAATGTATGTACAGTAAGCATCTCCCAAATTGTCTGACAACTAAAATGTGTGAAGCCAAGGGCAGCTAGCATATCTTATTGTCCTCATTATTATGTCTCAAATCCTTTGAAGTATAGCCACTATGAATGAGGTGCATTTGATGTTTATGTCCATGTTCTGTTTTAATTTTCTTTATGGAAACCATTCACTTAAACTCATTCTATCAAACTATTAATGTTAATTTATTGCACTGAAATAAAGAACTACACAAGGTAGAAAATTTCAGTGGCTTCTTAAACTCTAGCTGTAAATAATAAATATAAAAATAAGCTGTTTTCTTATGCAAAAAGAAAAGCTAATCTGAATAAAGGTAGATTTGTAAAGCAAAGAATTATTAATCAAAACTAATGGTGAACTTCAGCAGATGACTACCACCTATAAAAGTGATTTAAACTGTATGAATTGCAAGGCTATAGAATATGGCAAAAGGTCATTTTAACTATATAAATGAAACTCCAAACTAATTTAATTTCTCATTCTTTCATTTGAAAAAACCTGTCCCAAACAGCAATGTGGGTTAATATTTTAATTAGCAGGTGCAGATAAATTGAAATTATAGCTATCTTAGTACTTAACATTGTTGATTATTAAATCTTTGGTTATAATGTGTTAAATGTCTACTGATAGTGTCTTTTTCTTTCTTTTAAAGCTCTTCTTTACTTCTACCCTGCACAATCACCACAGCCGGGTTTATTTTATGACCCTTGGAAGACTCGAAGAGCTCCAAAGCAATTGTTCTGTTTAAAAGGTTCCAAGATTTATTACAACACTTACAAACAACATATATAGATATACTACAACATTTGCAGTTTTCTGAGATTAAATGAGTATTCGGTTTTATTATTAAAGAAAAATTAAATCATAAACAACTTTTAATGTAGCACAGAATAGTTTTAATAAAAAATGCAGCTTTATATATAAAATTCACTGTAGCAATCTCTATGTACTCCAATGGTGTACAATATCTTTTGCACAAACTTTGTAACTTTTGTTACTGTGAATTCAAATATTACTGTTAAGACAATTGGATGGTATCTATATTCAAATTTACAGCATAAAGCAATCTGTTATAACTAGATTAAAAGCAGCTTTCAAAAGTATTGGCCCTGAGTAGGGTTTTACAGAAAGAGAAAAATACTGACAAAGTATATGTAATTTTTCCAAAGTCTTGAAAAAAATACAGGTTAGGACAGTAATAGCAAAATTTTTAGAACTTTCAGTGACCACAAACAGTCCACTGTGGCATACATACTATAGGTTGCTACCACTGGTTAGGTCATGAAACAAAAATTGTACGACTATGCTACAAACAAATTAAGGTTGAACAACCTGTATGGAGAGAAAATTACAGTGATAAATGAAGAAAGGTCACTTATTTCTTCATCATTAAGCCCATAGCTAGAAATCAGTTGTGTTTTCATCCCATGTTAAACTGATTTCCTTCATACTATAAGAAAGAGAAAAACCTCAAATGCTTGCTTTTGCTCAGACTCTTCAAAGATGTTCAATCACTGTTTTTATAAACCATCAAATAATACACTTGCACACCTGAATACAGGACTGAACTCTAATACACAGTTACTGTAGAAAGAGTTTTTCTTTTTGTTAACTCTTTAGAGATGAAATTTTGCCTAAGATTGGTTGATTTTTCAAAATTATTATTTGGTCAACAGTATGACCATTGGACAGTTCCAAATATTTAATCCTAGATTAAACTATACCTTCATTTCCCTAGTTATTAAATAATATCAAAATATTAATATATAACAGCAAAAATATCAACTCCTAATACTTAAATTTTTACATTTTTAATGCTGTAAAATGAGAGATTAATTTAAAATTATTTCAGGGATAATTTCATATATAGATACAATGTTATAAATAAAGAAATGAACAGACTTTGAAAAAAATTTACTTTCATCATGTATCTAAATCTATAAAAGTATAGTGGTGAATTTAATGCGAGCCTATCACCCAAATATATTATAGATGTCACAGATACATGATGTTCCATCACCTATGGTAAGTGCTACCTGGTGAAAAACATAATTTCTGCATATCTATCCTCAAAACCCTGGTTAGTTCTGGGGCAATAGAACTTTCACAAAGTATACCTCATTAATAATTCCTTTTAGTTCTGCTTCAGAAATTTGAAGACAGTGCTAGTGGGATAATAATTTTCAAACTACCTGGTAACCAAAATTTAAAAAGTAGCTGACTAGGGGTGATTTCACAATAACACATCATTACTTGGTATGTTGGTCTGAGAAATGAAGATTTGGATTTTCCGAACACTTACATTACAAGTTTAATAACTCAGTGAATCAAATTTAGGAGAACCTGAATTCAAGAATTAAAGAAATGAATGTGATTCACGTTTCTGTTACTGTGACACAATGATCTGGTCCTAAAACTGGTTTATCCTCAAGTGTTTACATCCCAAATAACTTTATAAATGCAATAGTTTTAAAAAGAAAGTGAATGTTTATGTAGAACTATTTCCTTAGAAGTAGTATCTATTTTATAAATTTGCATAACAAGAGCCCATGGGGGAACTTTGTACTTGTTTCTCTTTGCTGAGCAAATGAAGCTTGCTATGTTTGATTTTCAGAAAATGTTCTCATTTACACATATATAGAACCAAGTTAGAAATTCACTTCGTCTTCACATTATTTAGTCAAAGTTAAGCTTAAAAATAAAATTTAGCTTAAAATCATAATTAAAGGCAGTAATTTGGGAAACTATTTTAGAAAGTCAACTCTCATTGTACCCTGTAACAGTTTTAATGTTTTTTTTAACCACCAATTTTGTGATGAATTAGCCACTGTTTTCTTTAAAGATTCATTTAGTTGAGACGGTATCCGTAAAACTGAGAATAATGTGACACATATTCAATGGGATCTTTAACTACTTTTCAACTGGTTTCAAGAAATATGTCTCTGCAAGTCAATTTATATGTAATCTGTACTCTAAAAATATTGGAACAATCTTTGCTACTAGTAATTCTTCTTAAACTAATGAATTATTGTTCAGCTGCTAATAATAAAAAATTCAAACTTACTGATTGATGTCTTTATTGAAATATATTAGTCTAATGAATTGGAAACAAGACTCATTTGAGGAATATTAATTTCTTTAAATTATGTAAGAGTGCACTGATGAGTAGATGGTAGGAGGTCCACCTGTTGTTCTTTACTAATTCTGGCCATGGAGTGGGTCAAAAAATCTTTCTGGCTACAGTGGTTAAATTAGAAACTGAAAAATATTCTTGTAATTGTATGAAGCTTTGCATGTAGAAACAGACACATAGTTTGGATAAAACAGAAGCAAGATTTAATGCTGCCTTCCCTCCCACCCCCACACCCCATATCTTCAAATCCAGTGGAAATGAGAGAGGAACAACTCTATCCAAAGACGACTATATCTTTATATTTTCTTAGCATTGAATAAAGGATTTAGTGCAGTCTGATGATGGAAATCAAGATGACATAACCATGACAGTTTTTCAGGAAAGATGATTTCAACATTTGGAGCCATAAGCAGAGCAGAACTTCCCTCAATAACCTTATCAGCACAGGAGCACTAAGAGCCTGGTCCCATGTACTTTCTGTCATCTCAGGACAACCTGGAGCCATATTCATCAGGCTCTTCCATTGGGACCTGCTGAGTGGGGCTCTAATTTTTCAAGTGTGGTCAGACCCTCAGGATCTGACTAACTTGGGTACATCAAGTTTGTCCAGACTTTTAGAAGCTAAATAAAATGCTGCATTACAAGAAAATTCAACTTAATACATAGGGCCCACTGGCTCCACCTATGTTAAAAGAGAGTGTTATGAACCGAAGAATAAAACTATCATCATTAATTACACTTAACTTGAACAGAGCAAAGTTCAGAGGCTGAGAGAGAACATTAATCTGAGAACCTGTTACTGAAGCGCGGAGACAGGGGAAGTCATGAGTAGAAGTCACTGGCTATTGGTGCTGTTATCACTTGTAAATAATCATGCCAATGAGCCATTTATTTTTAAAAAATTGAATGCGCCCTATAAACAGTAAATTATATAAAACTGCAGTTTTAATTTAAAGGGACCTTTCTCCTCACTTGAGGATACTCAGGTTTCTGAACACAATAAAGCAATCGAGTCTGGCACCTCTTAAAGCCAGAAAAGGAATGGTGGTAGCTAATAAACTAAGGTCAAACATGCTTCAGAGGCATTGCCACCTGTCTTAGTTTATGTGGCTTAAAATCATGTAAACTAACTAAAAAATAATAGGGAGAATGAAACGGATTCTACATGGATTTGTATTTTCACATACTGGGCACAGCCTTAACGAGATAAATACAAAATCATATTTATATTCTTTTCAGTTTTTATTAGTTCACAATTATAGTACATGATGGTTCCATTCCTCATGGAGAGTTGGTACATATACGCATACATTTTAATTCTCTTTTCATCCCCTTCTTCTCCTCTCACCCCCTCTATTTCTCAGTCCTCTTCCCTTTTGCAAAAGATTTATTTTCTATTATATATCTTTCATTTTGGTCTTCATTTGTATTTTGGGATTTTCATATGAGAGAAGCCATACAATAATTGAGTTCATGTGTCTGATTTCTGTCATTTAACATTATGCTCCTTGAGGTGCATCCAGTTTCCAACAGATGACTAAACTTCATCCTTTTTACAGAAAAGTAGTACTCCGTTTTGTAAAAGTACCACACTGTCTTTTTTCCTTTATCTATTTTTGGACATTTGGACCACTTCCATGATATAGCTATTACGAATTGTGCAGCTATAAATATGGATATGCATGTATCACTATAATAAGGTATCTTTAAATCTTTAGGGAGATATCTACAGGTGGAAAATCTGGGTCAAATGTAATTTCTATTTTTAGGATTTTTGAGGAATCTCTATACTGATTTTCATAGTGGCTGTAGTAGGTTCCATTCCCACCAACCATGGAAAGGTTTTCCTTTTTCCATGTACTTGTGTTCCTCTCAAATATTTGTTATTTGAGTTTTTGATAGTACCATTCTTTCTGGAGTAAGGTGGAATATCAGTGCTGCTTTAATTTGCATTCCTATAATGGTCACAAATGTTGAACTTTTTTCATCCATTTATCAGCCTTGTGAACTTCTGAGAGGTGTCTATCCATTTCAGTTGTTCATTGTTTATTGGGTCTTTTATTTAGGGTATGGAATTTGTGTTCTTTATTTTTGAGGAATCTCTATACTGATTTTCATAGTGGCTGTAGTAGGTTCCATTCCCACCAACCATGGAAAGGTTTTCCTTTTTCCATGTACTTGTGTTCCTCTCAAATATTTGTTATTTGAGTTTTTGATAGTACCATTCTTTCTGGAGTAAGGTGGAATATCAGTGCTGCTTTAATTTGCATTCCTATAATGGTCACAAATGTTGAACTTTTTTCATCCATTTATCAGCCTTGTGAACTTCTGAGAGGTGTCTATCCATTTCAGTTGTTCATTTTTTATTGGGTCTTTTATTTAGGGTATAGAATTTTTGTGTTCTTTATATATTTTAGATATATATTCCTCTGCCCAAGGAATAGCTGACAAATATTTTCCCCTTTCTGTACCTTTTCCTCTTTTTATTCACTTGGTTCTTTCCTTTCCAGAGCAGAACCTTTTTAATTTGGTGTGATCCCATTTGTTGGTTCTTGATCTTTCTGATACAGTTGGGGTTTTGTTTAAAAAAAAAGTCCCCAACTGTGCTTGTCTCT